TTAACTGTCAAAACCCTCACTTAATTTCATTTTCAGCTCATTTGCCATGAGCCCATCTTACTCTCAGCCCTTCTCTCAATAACTGTCTATTCTTTACATATTCATAGTTGCAGGTGTCATGGTTTCCTAGTTTCTCAGCAGAGATTGTTAGGGGTTGACTTGCTAGAGTCAGATAGACAAAAAAAAGTACTAACTTTGAGACTGTCACTGAGGGTAGACGGAAAACTCAAAAAGTAGACACCGAAATGATAAGGTGGAGACACCCAGTAACGATCAGGATGAGAGCTGGGAAAGCACTCTAGATGTCCTCGGTCCCCCAGTTATATCAACTGAATTCAAGAATGCCATCTTTGAAGTTCAGAATCACAGTTTCAGGCTTCACAAAATGATTTAATTGCATACAATATATTTTGCTTGAGAAGACAGGTAAGTGCACAGTACTTAGTAGAGAGATTTTACTCAAAAATAGTTATGATTTTTAAAGTTCCTACTTAAGGATGAGATTTAGTTATAACCAAAATTAACTCCTATAAAATATCTCATTTCCCAGTATGTCAGGTAAATGAGATATTATACACATAATCCTAGCTTAAAAGAAATTCTCTGTTCTCCAATTATGTAAGAAAAGGGAAATATTGACTTGGGTACTTTCTATCTGTGTTGAAAAGCAGGTGGAGTAGATAGCATTTCAGGGATCTTATAGTTTCTTTTGGCTTCTGCAACGATAGCATTTCAGGGATCTTATAGTTTCTTTTGGCTTCTGCAACACATTGTTACACATAAGATTTTTTGGTGGGGATTATGTGATTGCCTGGCACCATATTTGTTGCCAGTTCTTAATTATTATTGCATCTATGTTTCTTGCTTTAAATTTAAAAGTATTAATTGGTTATTCACTGTGTATCTTTTATTTCATACTTTTAATTCATTTCTGCTTTTGTGTGTCATCTAGCATTAAACCAGTTTCTATAAGTACTCTTGGTTTCCATAGATGCTCATAGTAGGAATAAAGAATACATGCTGTCAGCCATACTTTTTTTTGGAGCCATAAGTGGTGAATTACAGCAAAATAAAGACTTTTCCCCCCAAAAAAAGTGTAAATCGAGAAAATGGACTTAGATAAACTGAAAAGTTAGCGTCAAAGAAGAAAATGGGTCATAGCACTAGCTGTATTAAAAGTGTTAACAGCTGTGTACAGTGTCTCACCTGTAATCCCAGCTACTCAGGTGGTGGAGATCAGCAGGATTGTAGTTTGAGGACAACCCTGGGCAAAAAAATATAATGAGGCCCCATTCAACAAACAAACTGAGCATGGTGGGAGTTGTCTGTAATCCCAGCTATTCAGGAGGCATTGGTAGGAGGATCAAGGTCTGTGGCCAGCTATGGGCAGGAAAAAAAAAAAAAACCCTGAAACCCTATCAGAAAAAAAACTAAAGCAAAAAGTACTGGCGGGGGGTGGGCATGGCTCAAGTGCTTAGTAAGTGAAAGGACAGTGTTCAAACCCCAGTACTGCAATCTTCCCCCTATAAAAAGTGTTAACTAAATTAAAAAAAAAACTTAGATCCTGAGAGGACATATTGATCAAAAGCTAATTAGTGAAAGAGAAAATGTGGCAGGTGTTTAAGATAGAGGATATTTTATATAAGGAGTTGATGTTTTTTGTTTGTTTGTTTTGAGTCAATTTTTTTATTTATGTGGTGCTGAGGTTTGAACCCAGGGCCTAGGACGTACTAAGCATGTGTTCTATCACTGAACTATACCTCCAGCCCCAGGAGTTGGATATTTTATATTTGAGTTGACTCCAAACATGCTGAAAGGGCTGGAACAAAAGGGAAAATGTAGCAGGTAATGGATCCATATAAAGGTTGGTTGAGAAAAGCTGCTGCTGCTGTGTCTGCTGATTGACATTTGAACTCCTAAGGGATACTGGCTCAAGTGGAGCTGACTGTTCACAGTGTTCCCCTACTAGTGAGGTTGAGAATGCAGCTGAGCTGCTTCTGCCATCAAGGATGCTTGAGGCCACAGGTGTTTTGTTCCTCTGCGGCAACAGTGAGCAAAGACTTCTCTTGGAGGTCGAGGCTGGATGTTTTCTCTTCCTCCCTGCTTCTGTCTTCTTGGTAGTGTCTCCCATTGGCAAAACCTAATAGGAAGTCAGCAACCAAAAGAGCTGGAAAGGTAGTTAGTTCATAGGCCTGCAGGCTCAGCAGTGCAGAACAGACTGGCTGAGTAGCATGTGAGGTCATGGACAGTAGGTGAACAACTGTTCTGGTCACTCAGATTCATATACGTGATTCTACCTCCCAGCACCAGCAGCCATCATTCTGTGCTTCTGTCTAATATATTACACTTTATATGATAAAGATACTCTCAACCTGGGTCACTGTAGCCATAGCTAGGAGATGTTCATTTCCTTTTTAATTTAGGCACAATCTACCTGAGTATTTGTCAACTGGAAAACTAAGCTGTAAATTAGCATCCACTATCTTTATATAAATCCATAGGGAAGAGGAAGGAAAATTGGTTGTCATATACCAATCTCTATTTAATACACAAGAAATAATATATAATAGCATCCACATTTCTTGTTTCTACAACATGGCTGATATTTACGACTCCATCTCTTTGACCTCTTATCTTTTTGGGATCATTACCTAGTGGTGCCATCCAAGCATTCATTCCTAGAGTGACTATTGTCCTTAGTAGTCCTGTCATTACTGGGTTGCTTTAGATTTTCAATACATTTTTGATTGAATCTGGTCACATAAAGAGATGTCCTTGAGAGTGTCATGAGTGTGGTGTGCAGTGGGATACCTGCTTCTTCTCCCATATAGGACCTCTCTCTTTGCATTTTGGGATAGTTGTATGTGGTTCCCAAATTGCTGGGTACCATTCTCAGGTTCTAACTTAGCAGTACAGTTGTTGAATTCCATGGCTTAAATCTTCCTGTATGTGACCATAGAGGTGATCAAGTGTAATAGTAAGAGGAAATGTGCCAGCTCTTTCCCCATGCTTCCTGTTCCCTTGTTTTCTCATTCTGGAAAGACCAGAATCAAGCATGATTCCTAGTTCAGAGTCCATATAGTATCCCTTGGATTCCCCAAATCCACAAGGAGTTGCCACTCAGCTTGTCCTGAGATGCAGGCCCAAAAGGCCATTCCAGAAACCTGTCAAGATATGGGTCGATGAGAATTATTATAAAATGAATACCAAGTTCCATGGATGTTAGCTCACTGCACTACTTTTTTTTTGTCATGAATGGATTTCTTAGTCACAAACAATGTAGTAAGAGATATCGTGACTATGCATGCAAAATTCTGTAGCTTCACAGATTATGACACTGGCAGACCATTGTGAGCAGATCTGAAGGTGAGTTAATTCCCTCCAAGAAAAGACAGACACTTAGGAAAAGGACACCTGATGTTGTGGTTCCATGAGTAAGGCTATCCTGAAGTAATGATAAATGAAGGGAGTCTACATGAGACATTTGCAAGACCAAATCCATGAAGCAGAAAGTCAGGCCTCCTGGGAGTCAACTGTCAAGGACTTCCTTGATGATCTTGGCTTGGCTAGGGTCTCATTTCAAAATTCTCTATCTCTGAGCTGTCCTTTAACACTATCTGTTTAGCTAGTTTTTCAGATATGGAGGTATCTCTTTTTCCACTAGTCATAAAATTATCACTCTACATTAAATACTGACAGTTCTATGGTTCTGCATTTTAATTGATTTATTCATTGCATCAATATTTATTGGGAATCTACTATGCTGCAGGCTATAATGCTAAGTTCTGGAAATACAGGATAAGGAAGAGTCATCATTTCCTTGAGGACACTACGGTTTGCTGGGGAAATCAGACAATTGAACGGGGGATAGTAATACCAATAATGTGATAAATAAATAAATGCCATGATGATGGAGATAGACTGTGTGCAATGGGAGAAGCACCTAACTTCTTTGCTTGGCAAAAACTATCTGACAAAGGAACATTAATGGTAACTCCTCAAGAGCATACACAGGGAGGACATTGTGAAATTAATCATACTTTGAAAGCAGTTCTAATTTAGCCTGGACTCAAAGTTTTGTTTCCCATAGGATAATATTTAGTCAGTTTGGGAATTCATATTTCCAGTGAACACAGACACCTTTAGTTATACTAATCCTAAACTTCCTTTTCATGAAAATGTTTGAATTGAATAAATAAAATGATTATATTTGATAGCCATTTCAATCTGTCATGTTTCTAACTATATGATGTCATGAAAATACTCATGGCTTCACTTCTGAAATAATCTTTAGTTGATCATTAAAACCAGCTAGCCATAGTTTCTCTAACCCATTCATGAGTGTAATTTATACCTTTAGTGCAAGGCTTTATGTATAGGTGATTTAAATTTTCATTGAGAACATCAGCTCTGGAGTTAAACCATAGAGATTCAAGTCCTAACTTAACACTTACCTGCTGTGTAACCTTGAGCACAGATAGATCCTAAACTCTGTGCTTCAATTTCTTCACCTCTAAGGTAGTGATAATAATGCAAACTCTATTATAGGAAGACTGCGAGGAGAGGGTGAAGAAGAAGTCAATGTATGTCAGATACTTACAGCAGGGCCTGATACATCTACAATGCAGTTACAAATAAGGTCACTACTCATAGAGCACATTTATTGAGAACATTTTAGAAAGCAATAAAAATTATAAATGTACTCCACTTACTCATTTTTGGTCTGAAATATAAATGACAACAGTTAATGTGATACAATAGGAAAATTCTCCTTCTGGAACTACTGGGTTCTATTTCTGCATTTTTAGCTACTAGCTTAACAATTCTGTGTTGTATAGTCAAGCTACTTCTGTTCTTGGAAATGAGACAGGGTTTAGGCCAGGATGCTGTGATTTTTGTGAAGCCTTAAAACTAGAAATCTCATCAGGAAGTGCTTGCGTTCATAAGACATTTTGCTATAGTCTAGTGGTGGTACTAAAACCCAACTGTTATCTTCCCAGGTGTTATCACAAGTTACGGATTATATCTAGATGGTGTATTAATTCACAATTCCTCAGAACTCAGCTGTCATGCCTATGGATTTGCTCCTGGGAGCTTACATTCCATGCAAGTGCTAACACGCACAGCCAAAGGTTGTGCTCTGGGCCCACTGGTGAGTAAGTAAATTTCCATTCTCGGAGGCACTCAGTGTCAGAAGACATGTGGTATCAGAGAATAGCTAAGTGATGGTGACTCAGGCAGCACAGCTAGCCTTTCAAGCACGAGGGGAGATTATTCTTTTTATAAAAGTTCATTTAAGAGTTGCTAAGATTTTATATTCAACATAAATTTCAAGGCTGCACATACTTCTTGGGCAGGACAGAATATACATTTGCCTGGAAGAAAGATAAGTTGGCTGCTTTAACAGATACACATAAAGTTTTGCTTAATTTAGTGATCTATGGAAGGTGGCTGCTTTTCTTCCTAATGATGACACAATGACTAAGTAAGTTTATGATTAAAAAGTAAAAATTGAAAATCTGTAACTGCCACAATATGGCACCATTGCTCTCCAAAAGCAAGTTAATCAATTAAAAGGTTGAGTTTGCTTCACATCTTGGAATAAGATTTTTTTTTTCATAAATGTCTTACAGATTACTAAGAAGAGTATTGAAAATTATATTAATATCAGCTTTTGATATCCACATTTCAGAAATCTGTCATATCTATCTATATTTTATTAGCAGCTAAAAACTTGACAGAATCACTCTTTTGATTACTAAAATCATTTTAAATCCAATTAACAGTGCATAATTGTCAGACTGGCACAACATTCTTTAGTTTCAAAACTAAAAAACATCACATTATACTTCTGTACATTTTTCTTGATTGAAGAGAGTTAGCTGCTTTAAGGAAATATTCATTAGTTTTAGATTTTTTTTTTTTTGGCAATTTGCTCTTCCCTATCACCTTAATGCACTTTTTCCACTGAAGAGTTTATTATATAAATATTATCTTGAAAAATAGCTCTTCAGTTTAATTCTTGCTTCCTTACTTTTGATCACGCCTCCCATTTCATTTCAGAGATTTGGTTGCTTTCCAAGCAGCTAACATCATCCGTCGGTGGGACTGAGCTTGAGTCTTTATTACACATTTTATAGCCAGACCCCTCTGATGGATACTTCCCTTTAAAAGCAGGAATGGCAACAGGCCAACTTTGCTTTTCCATTCAAAAATTTTAAAAAAGCGAAGAGAACAAAAGAATACTTCATATTAGCTTGAAACTTACATTTTTTCAAAATATAAACTGCAAATTGTGGTTCCAGGTACTAAGGTAGCCATGTATCATATCATGATGTCCAGGCAACTTTAAACAAGGGGGACACAGTTATCGATCTGTGTCCTGTACAGATAGTCAGTGACATTAACCTTAAGAAATCAAATGCCAGAGTGCCCTGATGGGAAAGGGAAAAACAGAATTGGATTGTAAAACCCACTCTGCCACAGCCTCATCCATCCTAGACTCAATCCTGACTTCCAGCACAAAGTGATTTTCTACCCTTGGTACTTTTCTTTATCCTGTACTCAGTATGCAAACACTTTTCCTGAGTCAATGATCTATCTCTAATCACTGGGACTGAACAACAATGTCTTCATTTAAAACAAGTCAGCTACATGCTGCCAAGAAGTTCAAATCCAGGGTCTTCAATTGGTTTCTGAAATATTTTTGTGCCACCTATAATACCTTTATGTCCTTAGGATACTATGTTTGTGAATATTCTAAATAGTCCAGGGTAACTACCACAACCATGAAGGATATTATAGATCCAGTTCCTTTTGTTGATGATTTTTTTTAATGTGTCCTTATTGATTTAATTCTATGAGTCAATCTTAAGAACCAGACCTTCCTAACATTAAGTTGTAATGTGATATTTAGAAATATTCAGCCAAATGTAGCAATGAAGTATGCATAGCTCTTAAAAGTATTCTTTAAAGACCAATGTTTCAACATTTTAAGTAAAACATTTCATTGACACAAAAATGTGTCATATCTATTCTATTGTTTTGCTAGCAGAAAGCAAAGAATGCATTTTTGAGAATCTAACTTTTTGTTCACTTATCAACATTCCTTAGTAATAGCTTCACTTTTGGAAAGAGAGTTCTGTTTATTTTGCCTCTTTTGTATATCTAGTGCCATTGTTATCCAGGCACACGGGAAATACTACTCAGTGCTTTCTATGATATGTATGTTCTACAGCCTCAAATGTTACCAGTATGGTTCACTCTTAAAATTGGCAAGTTGATCAGATAACTGAAAAAAGTAATAAAAAGGAACAAATTTGTTAAAACAGGGTATTTTAAAAATTAAAAGTGTATCCATAAATTCTATTTTCTTACCATGTTAATATTATATTAACTCAATAGCTTTTGTCTTCCTAGATGGACCAAAGCTACCTGGTATTGATGGTTCAAAATGATTTGAATCCCCTGTGATTTGTTCAGTTCTTATGCATTTAAACGACATAGTTGACTTTTGAAAAAAAACGATAAAGTAAAAAATAATCCCCAGTGCATTAAAAATGCTAATATGCATTGTCAAATTTAACTCACTAATTGAGAATGTTTGGAACAATGGAAAAAATGAACATAGAATGAAGCAGCAAAGAACTTTTCAAATGCCTTCCCTGCTTTCAATTATATTAGAAAGAAACTTTACACATTTTGTGCCTCTATAATAAAATTCAACGAGTTTTCCACAGGAAAATCACTTTCTTCATCACACCCCCACCCTTTCCCAACCTAGCGGTGTTAGATAACGCTATTGGAGTGAGTCTAAGGCTGAGAATTTTACCATTGTGTCTGGCCTTGGAACATTCATTGGATCGATTCTCCTGGGCCATCTTAAGGATGAGCTGCACAAGTACAGGCACTGCTGAGAGGTGGTTAAAAGGCTGCCTTGACTTTGTGGTGATGATGTGTTGTGCTGACAGACTCACATGTACATCCACACTCATGCTGGCACTTTCATTTTTTGCAAAGAAGAAAATCAGTTTGTTATTTAACACATCAAAGTCTTGATAGCACTATATTATGGTCAAGAAAATGCCATAAGGAAAGCTGCCCAGGCCTCCTTAAGAAACATAAGTTTTCTACTAAGCTTCAGATTTCTCAACTGTTAGGAAGAAAAGTAATGCCCACCTTAAAGGGGTTTAAGGTTAAAAATTAAGTGAAATGTTATTTATGTAAGACTTTCTGGCACATGTTAAGAGTTTTATTATGGATAAAAATTTCATTAAAATGTTATGTTTTTATGGTGCATTTGCTTTCAAATATTTTTGTTGTGTCAAAGTAGGTTTCTAGGTCAAAGCCAAGCCAACTCTTACCTTCCCAGGTGACTTTTCCTTGATACTCCTTTTAAGGCAAAATAGATAAATAAAATGTGAAACACAACACACAAAAATAAAAGCAATAATTCCTGTTCAGAGAAGAGTAGTACAGCGCTAGTTTTAATATAGAGTAAAAGCCACAGTGCTTATCCAGATACTTATTGAAATTTTAAAAAATGTTTGCTTTGAATTAATCAAGTATTGGATAATAATAATATAATTATCTGGAATCGCCCTTAACTACTTAAGTTTTTCATGTCATTTTGTTTGGAATCATTTAAAATAATTTTTTGTGTAATAATTTGAACAATACATGTAGACCTAATGAAACTAACTCATTATTATGAAATATTAAAATGATGAATGGATATATTTTCAGTCTAGTTTTTTGTATATAACTATTTACAGTAAAAAATATTGGTAGGAATTGCAGATCTAAAGAACCCAATAGTATTTCTCTGATAAAAATACAACATCTTTTGACCTCATACTTATTAAAAATTAACATTGTCTTTTTCACATTTGTTTTCATAATTGGAAAAATGGATTCACCTTAGCAAATAAAGCCTCTATAATTGAGGATATTTGCCTGCCTTAGGTTTCATGTTTAATCATCTTTTTGTGAGATATGAGTCTGTCTGTACATTAAGGTCAAAAGGATCAACATACAATAAATTGTGAAAGGTCAAAATTTGTAAGTGATGCTTACGAGTTTGTGGTAGTTAACTAAACTGAAGCCAGTGATTAAAAGATAATAAAAAGTCTTGAATCCCTTTCTACTTTCATGCCAACTTCATCTTCCTCTTGTAACTTAGTCATTTGACTTATTTAGTTATTGGTCTCTTTCTTACCTTTGTGCACTTCCAGACTATTTTGTGTGAGAGTAGTAACACCACGTCAACTGCTTTTGTGGTTATACCTGAGAAATGGAGTCACTCAGGTGCATTTATTTAGCAGGAAGCTATCTTTGCCTAACCTAATAGTAACACTGTTTAGCAACAGATTGTGTGTGTGTGTGTGTGTACATATGTGTAAAGATTGACAAAAGCCAAGAGTCTATCACTTCCATCAGAAACAGGAAAACAGACCGTGTGCATTCCTTCTCTTTTGCAATCACGTAGCAATGATTTTTAAGCAAACCTAGAAGAGCCTGTGGTTATGCACAGCCATCAGCACAATCACAGTATGAGCTGATCCACATATTCTGGAAATCACAAACAGCTACCTTAGTCAGGAACTCAAATTCTCTGCCTTAACAGCAGGAGGAAGAAAACATGAGGTATGCTTTGATCCTGCTGACAAAATGAAGGATTCAGACAAGACGTTACTGTCAAAATAGTTTACTTCACAGAAAAAAGAGATTCTTTGAAGAAATATGCTCAAAGCGAAGCATGTACTTATTTTATTTGTAAACAAAAATAAATCTTTTTATACTCCCAGGTGGAAAATCGAACTCTAGAAGCTCCTCGTGGAGGAACAATAAATGTGTTTGTCAAAACAGAGGGATCCCGGGCAGCCCATATGAGATGGGAAGGACCTTTTTGCCCTAATGGACACTTAACATACTCAATCCTTGTTACTGGGATTTTCTACGCAGATCAAGGTAATTTGTGTGAAGTTTTTAAACTATAAAT